AATATTTTCAAGGAATATACAATTGTAACGACGGGCAGCCTGCGCGGAAGCCAACATGGAAACTTCCAGCGGTTTCTAAAGGATAGCGCTCCCATGTTATGCGAAGCGGTAGTTGACCAGTACTAACAAGGGAATTTTACGATTCGGACAGGCCATTGTGAACGGAATGAAGTTCGAAACGTAGGAACCAATAAGTAGAAACAAACTATAGAATGTACTCAATTTATACGACTGACTGACCCAGTATAGCCAAGGTGCTTGCAGCTACATTTGCTTATTACAGAAATTTATTTTCGTCCCATGAATATCTTCAGGTAGCTCTCATGATTTTTTAGAAACATTTTAATATAATTTAAAATACAGGTTTCGCAAATAGTGCATTAACGCTAAAAAATAGTATATAAATATATATACATATTCTAAATTAAAAATTTAAAGTGATTTGATTTGGATGAAATTTAGTATACATGGATTTTTGGGGGCGCTGATTATAAACGTGGACTCAGAATTTAAAAATTCAGTACGGCGGATCTAACATGGCGGAAGAAAGTACGAAAAGTGATTTGATTTCGCTAAAATTTTATATCTGAGGGTTCTTGAGGTCGCTGATTACGAATCTGAACTCAAAAATGAAAAAAATTGAAAATGCAGGAATTGGTAAGAGCTCACGGAGGGATTGTTGTACATTCAGTGTTGTACGGGAAGTTTTAAAGAGTCGGTGACAAAGTTCAAGAAAACGTAGTACTCGTTTCTATCGAATCATTTTTGTTTCTTTAGACGAGTACTTTCAAAGTTCATTACTGACTTCTGGAAATACCCTGTATCTCAAATTATAGGTAACTGGAAACTATTCCCTACAGCATGCCAGGTTAAAATAGCGTTACCAAGGACTCGCTGTATCTCAAATGATACCGTGACAGCCATATACCGAAACTGAAAGGGTCGAGTACTTCTCAGCTCCTCGCTCCCGAAAATTTTTAGGGTTGACAGGGTACACAGTCCTCAGTTTCGTAGCGGAACGATGAGTTTGGCTATCGTGCTGCCAGTGGTTGTCCGTATTGCGGAGTAGAGCTTCGGCTTGTTGAATGAGTTGCGGTTAATTAACTCGCGTACGGTCATGCAAAAACAGTAGAGGTTCGGAAAGGCTTGGCAGCGACCAATGTGGATAGACGGTGCTTGCGATCCTGTATCGCGTTGGAAGTTCGTGCTACAAGTGCGGACGTGCTAATTGGGTTTATCCCAATCTCGATACCCAAGGGACGGGTATACGGTGGTATAGGTCGCGGGCTGGGAACGGCAGAGTCGCCTTACGTTCAGAAAGTGCTCAATCATACTCAACGTAGCAGCAAATAGCCAATAAAGTAGCCATCTTGGAAACTGGAGGTTACCGTCCCCGCGTATCCAGGGTGCTAGTTGAAGCCGCGCTATCAAGGAACCGGTCATGAAGCTGGAAATTTAGGAAATTTGAACAAATTTTGAGTGAGCGGGACAGGTTATCTCATGGTGATTTTTATTATTACGAGGCTCCTTCAAATCTCAAGCACTTGGAAACTTTTTAAAATGTGTTATATTAAAATTTTTGTTGAGAGTAAACGTCAGAAATCTGACAAGTAACAAACTTACGTGCAAACGATTTGTTTTCTACTTTTATACGTGTGTTACTTTAACATACGTGAAATTTCATTTGAAAAAGATAATCTCTGAAGAAATTAGAGCGTTAATAATAATTACATCTTTCAGTATTTTATGTAGGTTTAAAATGCCTTGCTTCCATCGACACGAAAGATAAATTTCGCACATGTTGTTCTACGCAATATACACATGTAATATTCAGAAATAATTAGAGTACTAATTACATCTATATCCCCCAGTATTTTCCCTCGTTTAATTAAAAAAAGAAACCCAGCTTCAATCAACATGAAAGATAAATTCCACACATGTTGCCGTGCGCAGTATGCGGGTTACCGTATTCAGTATAATATTTTCATCTTCCTCGTGCCGCATAGATTACCTCGAATTCCCCACGTGCAGCCATTTCGGCTACCCGGAGGGAGCGCATCCTCAAAACTTTTGAAAGTTCCGCTACACGTAGGAAGCCATCTAATAAGTAACAGGCTGATAACCTTCTCAAAGAAGGCCTCCCGTCGTATATCGCAAATTGGCCCGTAAATTCATGCCGCTTCGCAAAGGAGGTTTCTTTACGGCGCGTCTTTTGATTGCACGCGATCCTTTTCGTTTAAATTCGCATCGATGCGTCTCCCATGGCGCGCGACGCTAAAACTTTCCTGTCGCCCCGTAAATTTGATGACTTTTCGAGCACGTACCGTGATACGATCGCATTTCTGCGACGATGAATTTTCGCGAAATTTTCATCCTTTTTCCCGCATTGTGATCCGCCGGTCTTCAATTCGAATCGACGGAGTTGCGAGATCGAATCTTTCGATGTGTGAACGCAATATCATTTGTTCATTATATAAATATCTACGTACACGTACAAAGGAAATATAGTTTTGTCGTAATTATTACTTCTTTTTTTCATTTCATTTTCTGTTTTAATTATTTCGTCTAGGCTCGGAAATATTGAAATTATTAAAACAATTTATGAAATAACTTTCACTAGAATTGCAATTCAAACAGAAAATTGAAACTGCTTTCCATGCACGATGAATATTCTCGTCGTAATATGAAATATTGCTATTTCTTCGTAACTGGTACGCTCGTCACGGTCGGTTACACACGTTGCTTGTAGCCTCGTTGTTAAACATCATTAACCACTTCAATAACATTTTCCACATGGCTGATATTAAACGAGAATGCAGAGTTTGATGGCTTGAGGCTTGGAGACGATACTAGATGGCGTCTAGACTATTCGAAGGAACACCTTAGGTAACGAAGAAGTTACATAACTTCTACAATGTATACTTAATACATAATTAATTAGGAAATGAACAGCATAGTACTATAGATTAACACACGAGACGAATCTGAATGTTATCTGTTAATACGAAGCCTCGATGTTTCTATATATTTGTTTAATTTTTATCTGTTCGTTATCTGTTCAAATATCAATTTTACCATTACTTACTATTTATATGTAGAACGATGTCTGTTATTGGCCACTTGGAACTTTGAATTGTAGTTTGGGTAAAATAATCCCAGTAAAGAAATTCGTCTCAAGTTGGAACTGTTTCGCCATGGACAAACAAATTCTGTGGATTATACGGTGAAACGCGTTCCGGTGAAGTCGCTAACGACTTAGTTAGCATCCTCAATCGTTAATTTCACCGGGTTCTTAATGTTAATCTCAGCGAACCTTACCTCTTGAACTTTCACGGAGTATTTAGTGGCGCGCGTACTATTCGTATATTTTTCAGCACGGAAGCTGACTCGTTGGTTTCGCGAAGCAGTCCCTGATATTCAGCGCTTCCGACAACGAAGGGGGTCGTGTTTAATGAAGCGCGGCAATGAATTTTCTGTTAGGACGGACCTCGGGGCAATATTTTGAACGTTCGACGCATGGAGAGCAATGCTCTGTAAAAATGGAGGGATGTAATCTCACGTACGAAACTTGCTATATTAGGGCAGTGATGAAGTAAATGCAATAAACAATGTCTCATTTGATACTCAGATTTTTAGTATCGTGTACAGATATTTTTCAAAGCTGTTGATATCCTCGACAATATATTCCAACGTATAATTTACTATCAATTACCATGCGATACCTGTATAGACGCTCGCAAATGCTGAAGTAAGTAGAATGGGCGAGTAATGGCCAGACACGGTACTATTAATCGCTCGCCACCGAATTTGATTACGTACAGGAATTTGATCTTTCTCGTTCTTCCTATCGAACAAACGTCGACGAAAAAATAAAGAAAGAGATCACTTATTCGTGCAGCTAATCGATAGGTCGCGCACGTTTAATCGCCAAAGCGAGTGTCGCTGGGGCGATTCCTCGTGATCCTGTTGTTTCCAAGGCCGGTAAGGAAAACGATAACGAGGTTAGAGTCGTGGGAGCACCCGAGTGGGAAGGGGGAGTTTAGGGACGATTGATGAGGTGGCTATGAAAGCCAATAAAATCGCGACGCGGCGGCAAGCCGGGGACCGAGGGCATAAATCGGCAAGTAGACCGATTAATTGGCTTCTCTCTGGCTTCGTACACCGACGTAACGCCGCCGCTGAACGTGGGTGTGCTCGTAGCAACTTTTGTTTTCGGCGCTGGCCGGTGTGCAACACGATTCACTGCGGGCTGGCCGGGCTTTGGCCAATTTGCAGTAACTCGGCTTTCGGTCAGTGACTGACTAAAACTGGAAATTTGCGGTTCGAGCAAGAAAATATACGGGATCCGGCGCTGGCGGTGGCTCGGCTCTGAGATCCGACGGGCTCGAAGTAGAAATAGGAAGAAAATCTATGCTGCAGACGGCAGTTCGTGCTCAACGACCGGCCACGCTTAGATACCGGGGAAACAAGGTCGCTCTCGAGCGTCGATAGATTTTCTAGAAATGAGATACATCGGCAATCAGAGCTTTTCGGTTTGCGATGTTACGTTCTGATAATATTCAGAATTTTATAAACAATTATGTCGAGATACTCGGGACTCTTACGGGGCTTGGTTCTTCATGGTTCGTTCTGATTATTCAAATTAATAAAAACTATTTTTAATAACAAATTTTAATGACAAATATTTACGGGATTGACTGTACATAGTGTAACAAATAGTTTCTCGATGAAACGAATGGCATACAAATTGAAAGCTACGTAAGAAGAAAGTTTTTACAATCAGTTTAGAATATTCTCCGTTCCAATGTACAGTTCTAATCAGTTTTAAATAACGTTGAATGAGACATTTATTCGGAAACGTCGAACTTGTCTTGTTTGGAAGCATGAGAGGAATCGACTTAAGAATATTAGTTATTTTTTACTAGTTAACTCATTGAATTTTCTGAAAGTTTGTCGGACGATTTTCCAATAAGTCGTGTGTGTTTTCCGATGTTTTTCAGTTCCTGTATTAGACGCGGTGGCCGTGTCTGGCTTCGAGGCTCAAATACCTTGCAACATTGATCCACCGACTAGAGACGAGGTGGTGAGCATGGTTTTTTGGTACAAAGGCGAAAGGAATGGCGAACCAATATACAGCGTGGACGCTCGCGGCAGATCGATAGGTCAGGCAAAGCTTTGGTCAGATCCATACGTATTCGGTGAAAGGGCAACCATGAGGACGGACGTGGAACCCGCGAAATTGGTGATCAAACCCTTGAACAAGACTGACGCGGGAGTGTACAGATGCAGGGTGGATTACAGGAATAGTCCAACGAGAAATCACAAGGTCAACCTTACGGTGATAGGTGAGTGTCTTTCACGCGATGTTCGATTTTTCCTGCGTAAGAATTTATCTTTACTTACTTTTTGACACAGTCGAGTACCCGTTATAAGCCTGGTCCAGGAGACATAGGAGAAATTTTTATCAGAATTTCAGCTTCAACACTACCGCGCAGTTAGTTTTGTCGCTCGACTACCTCTCGTGAGCCTGTTCATTATTTTTCATAATTTCAAACGTTATACAGTAGAGACTCCCGTATCCGAACTAATAGCGAGACGGAAGTAGCCTAATAGTGGAATATTCGGATAATAGAATAATTACTCTCTTTCGCGTTAAATATCATTTATTCGAGTAGAAATGAACAAAATTGAGTATTTTCCAACATCTAAGGACCCCATTATGTTTTAGCCGCTAGCCAAGGTGCAGAAAAGCATGGTTTTCTAAGTTTTTGAGAGTGAGGAACGCGAATCTGAGATCAGTTTTGAGGTACAATATTTCTGTGTCTGAAAACACCTGAAAATACGCAGGCTTACACGGGATAGTCTGGCGCAAAACGTAAGAGTGATTAAGTGGGGGAAATCGTTTCGACTCAGCAACTGGTGATTGAGGGAAAGAGGCTTATTAGGGGCAGGCTTATGACGGGGATTCGACTCTATTATATACGCGATGAACAAAACAAATTTCTTCGATAGATATTTATAGAAACATTTTTTTTTTTTTTAAAGAAATAAAATCTCCTCGAAGAGTAGGTATTTGATAGAAAATTCTTTTGGGAGAATGTTGAAAATGTTCACGGAATGTATGACTCACATAAATTCGCTCCTATGACAGTGCCACCGAACAAGCCGGTGATTTACACCGGCGACGATAGAAGTTTGGCTATGATACAGCAACCCTTCAACGAAGGCAGCAAGTTGTCGTTATTGTGCGCGGTAGAGGGAGGTTCGCCACCACCGAAGGTCACGTGGCATTTCGAGGGAAAAATGTTGGACGACACGTACTCGCTGGAGCATGGTGTCACTATAAATCGATTGGATATCTCGAACGTCACGAGGGAGTACCTCAGGGATAATCTGACTTGCCGCGCGACCAACACGCATCTCGTGTCAGCTCTGACTTCCGAGATCACTTTAAACATTAATTGTAAGTAAACAGTCGGTGGAACTCGTTAACCCTGCGCTAGGCTCGCTAAAAATCGTAGCACGATCGTTTAATTTGCATACAGCGTTAATTTACGAATCTCCTTCGAATTCTAGTGAAACCATTGGTAGTGAATATCATAAATAAAAGAGCACACTTGTCGGCGCTAAGGACGTACGAAATCGAGTGCATCAGTTCAGGTTCCCGGCCCAAGGCTGTGATCACCTGGTGGAAAGGTAGCCACCACGTCAAAGATATGGCCAGAAATGTGAGTGAAGTATCAGACTTTCGAATCACCGTCTGTTGCGTTCGGTTTCCGAGAACGTGCTGGAAGTACGCGCAAACTTAGATTCTGAGTTTTTCGTAGTTTCTAGATGATCCGAACGTTACTAGAAGCATATTGAGTTACGTGCCGACCGTGCAGGACGATGGAAAGAACCTGACTTGCCGAGCCGAGAATACAGTTGTACCTGATAGCGCGTTAGAAGACAGATGGCATCTACTGGTTCATTGTGAGTGTCTCTTTTCAATTCAAGTCGACTTTCCAAAAGGAACATGCCGCATTGTTGAATAAATTTATTTTTCGAATTTAATATTGTTCCTGACAAAATGACTACCACGATTTAATTCGTCGAGTGTATCTAGGTTTCGATGTACTTCATTTTTAAGTAGTCGTTGCTTTGGTATATTATGCAAATGATTACAGAAACGTGCTTTATACATATATATTTTCGACACGTACATTTATTACGTCTCTATATTTTTTTTTATTGCTTTATTGCTATTTTCAGATTCGCCAATAGTGACAATCAAGCTAGGCTCGAGTCTCCGAGCAAACGACATAAACGAAGGCGACGACGTCTATTTCGAATGCGACGTTCAAGCGAATCCAAAGGCGTACAAGATGGCATGGCTCAAAGATGGCAAAAAATTGCATCAGAACGCGACAGCCGGAATTTTACTCCCCAGCGGCCAATCTCTGGTTTTGCAAAGCGTGACTAGAAATTCCGCCGGTGAATATTCCTGCATGGCGGCCAATATCGAAGGGAAAACCACCAGCAAACCAGTGACGCTCACGATAATGTGTGAGTGCCAACTACATACGATAAGTTTCCTTTAATCCTGAGACAAGAAAAAGTAAATAATACGTTCTCACCGATTATACGTAACCGTGTAAGCTTTTTGGGGTCAGAAAGAATTTAACAAATTTAATATAAAAGTCGAGTAGTGGTTCAAGGTGTATTTGAAAAATAAAGAAATGATAGGACGGGTTTAACCCTTTGCACTCAAGGTCGTTTGTTTCTGGTATCTACCAGAAACTCGAGATGTTTCCTAGCATTCTATTGCCATGAATTCTAAGCTATCTAGATTTGAGAATAAGGTCACCTTTACCCTTTACAATCATTTTATTGACACTTCAAGCTCCATAGAAATTAAACCTACAGAAACATTAGGTATTATACATAGATTTGCTGCGTGAAACCTAATGGTGACTGAGAGTCACCTCTCGAGTCCAAAGGGTAAATATTGTTGAGATTTGAGGAGGCATCACGGTGCCTTTTGCTTGTCGCGTTTCTAGACGCACCGATCTGCAAGGACGGCTCTTTCACCCAAGTGGTCGGCGCCCTGAAGCACGAGACGATTTCGCTGGTATGTGAAGTGCAATCGAAACCGCCGCCGACGACTTTCCATTGGACCTTCAACAATTCCGGGGATCTGATGAACGTGCCGGCCAATCGATTCACGCAGGTCAAATCCCTGAGCCTAACCACCAGCCACTGGCACGGGCCCAGGCTGAATTACACACCGGAAAACGACATGGACTACGGGACGGTCGCCTGCTGGTCGGAAAACCGTATAGGGGTGCAAAAGACGCCCTGTCTATTCCAGATCATCGTGGCAGGGAAACCCTATCCCCTGCAGAATTGCACGGCGCTCCAGTCGACTGGACCCTACGCGTATCGAATGGGTAAGTGGCACTTTGCTCGCCCTATCGGGATCGTCTTAACACTTTCACGAGTACGGGCGCACCGGTGCGTCCTCGCTGATGTGTGCAAGACAGAAATGAATAGTAAGATGCAAATTTGGAGGTTTAAAGTTATGAGGCGACCTCGGCAGTTGTCATTTTTTACTAGATCAAGGTGGTCCTTTCTCAAATCTACTAGTCGGAACAAAACTCAAATATAGAAAGTATCAATAACGATATATTTTCTGTAATAAAATTCTTCAATTATTATTTGATTATGATTTTTAATAAAAATATCTACAGATTTCACGACGAGCGTAAGGATCAGGTGATTGAAAATCAATACAGGAAAGGGACATGCGAAATCATTTTTGCGATTTATTTTATTCTAACATCTTTATTATCGAGCGTTGTGTCAGTGTTACATTTTTCAGACATGCACCCATAAAAAAAGTAGTAATTGATACAATTACAGTTGCGGAGACAGAAGTCTGCATGAAAAAATATCGTACTCGACTTCTTTTTCTAACGTATATTGCTCTGGTACTAAACGGGCAAGTTTGGCAAAATTGAAATATGTTATTCTACGTTTATTAATTTACTTTCCATTCATTTTTGGTTTCGATCTGTCTTGTACAAATTATTTTAATGTGCCCATACGTTAAACGGCCCTGTCTCCTACCCTTCGTGGCTAGTGTCCTCCTCCTGACCTAAATGGCGCCAACTATACCGTCGCATTAGCCAGTCATCGAGGATGACGGCTCACGGTCGATAGCCTTGTTGCGATCAACAGCTTGTTTCCTGCTGTGTCCCGTGAAAAGGGAAGGTGGCCAATCGAGCGTGAAAAGGGTTGTTGTGAAATTAGGCGCGTTTTTAGGATCGATTGTGGAACGGTTCGACCGGGTCGACGTTCATCCGTTATAGGAAAGTGATACCGGAGATGAGAATCCCGATGTCTGGAATGAGCGTTGCTCGCGATCGGTTACACGAAGCGACGTCGACAGTTTGTACGGTGTGTAGGTTGTATTTGTTTCTTGTATTTCCGTTGAGATGGGATAACAGCGAAGGAGTTCCTGTCGGAACTAATGTGGAGACATTGCGTGCTCGGATAATGGAATTTTTCAAGCCAAAACAATTTCTTAATTAGTGTAATTATTACATAAATATTAATTATTTCGGACAGCTAAATAACTTTCATGGAGAATAAACTGTATCGAATGAAATACAACTCTTAAATTTTACAACTCTCAAATCCAATAATTCAATTTTTGTTTAGACAATAAGTAAATCAATAAAAAAAAAAAAAAATGCTGAATAAAATACCATTAATTAATAATCTTCGTTATAATAATTTAAAAATTCCAATTTATTTCGAAAATGAGTAAAAGAGTAGTCCTTTATCTACTAACGAGCGTTTCCCATTTGTCCCATCCTTCTCAGAGCCAGTTAACGAGATATTATCAAATCGAAATCGCTCGCTGGCTAAATCCTCATCTGCTAAACTCCCCAAAAAACCTTCCGTTTCTTTATGCGACACAGGCCACGAGGATTTTAAAGCCACCGACTCGAGAGACGCGGACTGGTTGATCGTCAAATGCTCTGAGGGATTTGACGGCGGTTTGCCCTTGACTAATTACGAAATCGAGGTCTACAGCGAGGAGAACGTTCGCCATGTCAATACCATTCCCCTGAACCACACAGAGAGATCCAGTTCGTCAGGTCCAGTTTTCGAGGTTCCTGGTTTAGAGCCTGGCCGTAACTACAGGCTTAATCTTTACGCTGTCAACGCCAAAGGACGAAGCGACGCCGTAGTCCTCGAGCCGGTCACCCTCAAAGGAGTCGCGATGTACACCACCGGTGAGTACACCAAATACACTTTCCGCCACGCTAAAGACACCGGGCGAGACGCAAGATCATTCAGAGAAACAGAATCTCCCGTGCTAAATATCGAAGCTTCCGAGCTACTTGTCGTTGTTGCATGAACAATATTTTATCTTCTAAGGAACAGACTGTTTCGTGTTTATTTATATGTTTATGAAATAATTATCAATCATCCGAATTACATCTCAAATTGCAAGTTAGTCGTTGTGCTTGATTTCGTTTAAATGGAAGGTCTTCCTTTATACGATAGATATTTCGAAAAACAAAGTCGAAGGAAGGCGAAGGTAAGATATGTCGAATAAAATATAACTTAACCCACTCACTTGTCCGGCAAATTTAAACATTGCATACTGGACAAAAGAGATCACGTGATCCGAAAACCAACGGAAACGTCATCCAAGACGGTCGAATAATAATCGTCGATGAGTTAATTGAACCAGAAATATGTTTCCGAGGCATCCGCTGCGTGTCTTAATTGGAGGGCATTGTGTCACGAGATGAACGACTCGCGGTATCGCGTCGCAATCGTCCTCGGTCCGCGTGCAGGGGCGGCAATTATACGCACATCCATGCTAACTTCGGGACCTCTTTCATCCAGCAGGCTCATTTCATACGATACGTTTCTTCGCATCCTCCTTTCCGCGGACCCTGAATTAAAATCCCATAAAGACCGAGTCCCTTTCCTCGCTGCTGTCTCATTCGAGGCGCATTTATCGCCTTTAATTTCCATCCTCATGGTTTATTCATGCCGCTCCGCGGACGATTCCGCTGTGTGTGGAAACGTTTGCTAGCTAGTGTCCGGGGACGGTCTCTGTGTACGTGTTCGAGCACGTAAGCGACACGAGCTCATCTCGAAGCTTCGGTTGTGCGAGTTTCACCAGCACCGACGCGACTGGCGTTCCATAGACTCTCTACAACCCCCTCCCAGCCTCCGCAGACTCCTTCAAACTCGTTCCAAACGGCTTTACTTCATCCGTATTATTTTCCAATGTTGAATGAAACAATCATTCAAATCCAGTCGTCTTTTGTATCCTCACCTGCCTTATTGTATTAATTTACGCCTTAAAAACTCCTATACACTCGCTCTTCACATTTTGTGCCGCCATATTCGATTCACCATCTTGAATTTCAATATTCTGAGTTCAGATTTAGACTCAGGAACCTCCAAAACCTCTGTATGCCAAGTTTCGTCCGAATCAAATCGCTTTTTGCATTTTGCTCCCCCATATTGGATCTGCTGCATAATTTTAGAGTGGCAGCCTTTTATATTCGGTATAAACAAATAAATTTTTGAAGTCGAATTAAATTGAAAATCACCTTACATTCTGTTTTCTATTTTGGGAAAATGAATGAACGTATTTATTTAACATCGTGCCTGACTGCGCGATTTTTTAATTTTAATAACACGTGTAAATAGCTAAAGAATGTAACTAATTTATATGTTTCAAAGTTAATATCAATTTATTAACACAGCCGACCGATCGGGGAGATCTCCTCATCTTCAACTCTTAATTTTACGTTTTGTATAAATAATATGTGAAATCGTTCTGTTAATTTCTTATACAGTCACCGTACCTTTGAAGAAGTTTTAATAAATATACGATTACAAACGTTACAGTTAATTGTTCAGGCTGATTCACGAACACGAAACTTCCTCGGCTCAAACATCCTCCATTCTAACTCAATCTAATCCAACCCCGACTCTGAAGTGCATTGTTGTGCCAGTATCGTTCTTCTCTAATTTCATTTCAAAATTAAACTTGAGTATTAGGAGCTATTTGCCTTGATTACAAATTGCCTGTAAACGTTGCCTGTATGTAAATCAAATCATGTCTGTATATGTTTGTCCTGGAACAGATACGCGCGCGCATCTGTGCACGTGCGCACAGAGGAGCCTGTACACGCGAAACGTTCGTTGGCTAACGAACCAAGGCGTATTCTGAATGCCAAAAAGCTCCGGCTATCGTCGTCAGTGGTCTGGTCTCCTCTTTCCTTCTTAATCTTTGCTGCCCCGGAAGTTCTTTACGTTCTCTTCGTGATCCAATAAATAGAGAGAAAAGGCGAATCTCGTTTACCAGACATGTTTCATGCGCTTTCTTTTTTTTTTTTATACGAAATAACGATGTTGAGGTCAATTCGAATCCTCGTCTTGACGAAGACGATGCTTGACTCATCGTTACGTCTCGAAAGAAATTTAGGAGAGCTATCGACTCGGAATTACCCGTGAATTAGTAACACGGAATGTGACTAAGGAACTGCGATTCTAAATATTACCAATGTTTTAGTCTAATTATAACAATTACGAGTAGATACGGATATCGCCAAACCGAATGAACCATTTTTCAAAATTGCAAAATCTCGAAGTTCTTTCGTTTCGATCGATCGAATAAATATTTCCCCGATGATTAAAACTACATCGTTTCGATTCATAACAATCTTATAACACAGTTAATTAAACCTCTGGCCGCGTCCATGGGAAATTCTCCGGCGATCAGGTAAACGAGTTCTAATTACATTTCTAATTGCTTGAACACAGCCCAGCGTATCGCGATGAAATTTTGAAACTGCGGCCTCTTCAATTATGAAATTCAATTATCCAGGGGAACGCTGGCTGTCTTCGAATATAAAATCCGCTACCGATGTCCGATACAGATGACTCGCCTCGCAATTCTCGAACAACAATCGGCAAAAACCGGCGAGCCGCGACACGGCGCCCATTAACAAACCGTCAGCAGTTCCTAAAAGCCTCGTTACGAGCCTCGAAAAGGCCCACTGTCTCCGATAACACCGAAAACCACCGACTCCGAGGCACGATAACGATCGTCTTCACGTGAGTCACGTCTCCCTTTGTCCCTAGGTCTCGGAACTTTGCAGAGGAACACGGACCGTTGCCTTCTGGTCGCTCGTTACCAAGAATTTGGTTATACCCTTGTTGATCTTTAAAATATTTCTACGAAATTACATTAAATAAATTTCGTAATTGCCAAAATTACAACCATTTATGATTACTTGTTAGATATATGTCTGTTCTTATCGCGCGCGTACTTATGAATTATGAATTTAGATTAGGGGAAATGCGTTTTAGCACGCATGCACATAATTTTATACTGTACTCGTTTCACAGGTTTGTGTTTTCTTAGCTTACATAAATTACTCGAATAAAATGAAAATAAAGGGTACCTCAAAAGTGGCTTCAGGAATATGTTGTTTTAAAATATAGCATGGAGTGCATTAAATTTTTTAATTACGATCGAGAGTACGCATGATCAGAATTAAATGTGAGAGATAATGTTGTGTATCCTGAAGACCCATCTGAGAAACCCTTTATATTTTCTTGACCATTCGGAATTTTGGAGGGCAATAATTTACTTTACGACTTGGTTTGTTCAGTGTTACGCACTTTACAATTACAGGAACTTATTCAGCGCCGTTTCGGTATAAGGTAATCTTAATATTGTCGAGTTTTTCTCTTTTCAGGTGACGTAATATATTCTTTCAGATAAAATATTACCTGTAGAAATTAATTCTGTGCCTTAACATTCCTACATTTATACGCTGTATAATATACGGTCGATTTAGATAGAAAAATTTACAAGACATTTTGTTACATTAAACTACCAACCTTCCAAGTTCTCAACCTGATTTCCATTATAACGAATCCACGAATAACACGTATAATATACGTAAGTCATGAATCCGGGAGCATTACATAAAAATTGGAAAATTCGTCTCTTGTCATTCTTCCAGCAGATTGGAAAGGCATCGAATTCATTCCTACACCTAATACCTTGGTAAAACTCGTAACACCGAAGATGTTCGACTCCGGGGCACGATAACGACCGTCGTTCACGCGAGTCACGTCTTCCTTTGTCTTCAGGTCTCGGAACTACCGAAGAGAACACGGACTACAGTCTTCTGGTCGCTTGTTTCGCTGGAGGGGTAACGGCCATGTTCATCGTGATCCTCGGGATAACTTTGACCTTGTATCGTCGCAACCAACCGATACAGACGGTCGTGCAGTACGGGCAGAAAGACGATCGGGTGGTGATCGCGCCGTTCAGCAAGGACTCCAGGTCCGAATCCAAGGAGCAAATATCAGCCGACATGCTCGACGACGATCCCGACGTGATTCCAAACAAGATGGACAAGCGACCGGACATCTTCGAGCCGAACTGCGGGACCGTCAGAATGGGAAGGACGAACGACTTCGGTCGTCTGGAGGACCTCGATTATCCGTCGCCGTCGTCGGTTTTACACACCTGGATCTATCCGAACGGTTACGTGGAGAAAGTGGGAAAAAGTCTGAGCCCGATGCGACCGAGCACGCTTCCGGTTCATCGCGCCCTTGATATTTACACGAGAAGTCCCCGCGTCCAGGAAAGTTGTATATAGACGGTTATGTTATGTCTGATCGTCGACGGACGCTCGTGTCCTGTTCTGCGAACGGCTGTGGAACTTTGATACAGCGATCGGGTGACTGTTGCTTGGATCCTGTTTAACTAGGACACCGGAAAGTGTAGTTGGGAAGGGGCAAACGTTCGACGTGATGGACGCTTAAAAAATGAAATGTTGAGCTGAAGGAATGTTGAGATGGATGAAGCAACACCCGCAAGGTTGGACCTGGTTAGGTTTGTTGATTGAATGGAAAACGGAGGATCGATGGAGATTTATTTTCACTCTGTTGCTTGGATCCTGTTCGTTGGAATAAGATAGCGGACGTGAGTATACTTGGGAACGATTTGACGCAATGGACGCTTAAAAATCGAAGGTCGAGAAATGTTAAGGTGAACGACATTAAAAACGAAAAATAAAAAAGCTCGAAAAATGATGAGAGGGTTGTTGTGGTTTGGGTCGCCTTAAAATGAGTCGATTTTCAGGAATTTTTTTTTGTGGGAATGTAAAAGAATATTAAAACAGAGTTAATTGTATATAACATTAAGCAATAATGAAACCGCTTGATTACATTTTTTTTCGTTGAAAATTTCTCTCCAATAAATATCGAAACATCCGTTTTATTTCGAAGGTATCATTTTAAGTATAGTTAAAATACAATTTTTAAGAAATTAATTTTTTGACCCACTCGAACCACGACACACCCTTAAGTTGAATAAGGAAACATGATCGGGTACGATTAGCTTTTCGAGCTAAGGATGGATGCAGACTATTTTTACTCTCCGATGCGAATCTATTTGCATCGATTCATGCCAAAAGCGTCGAGCACACTTACAGACGTTTGTAAATAGACAATAAGTATCGTTAAGATTCCCTCCCGAACTGTCGAAGACTTGCTCTTATTTTTCACCTAGGTTAAGTAACGTTTAAGTAGGTGTAACGACGATCAACGGACAAAGATGATGGTCTCCTTCGATTTCCGGCGTTTGTATATAGACAATAAATTTCCTTCCTTGAATGTTCTTGTACCGGCCAGAAGTTTCCCGTGCTCGGTCTCAGCGACGTGGTTCCCTGTCGAAAATCATTTTCGTGAGAATGTTTGGTGTACCGTGAAAATGAACGCGTTTACCACGCTTCGTGGCCAACCGATTTCGTCGAACCCTTTAAACGGCATATAAACGTTTGTATATATAGATAATAAACCTCGTTATTTAATAACTTGATGTCAAGTTTGTTGCTTCCGAAGAGAATCCTTTGCAGGTGAACGAACGAAGTGCAGGTAAGCAATGATTTCATTATTTCGGTTGATTATTAGCCGGGGAGATTAATTATTACTAAAATGAAGAAAGGTATAGGGTAATAATTATTTTCTCAACTGAAATAATTTCGGGTAGAAATAACGATTGAAAGTAATCGAACAAATTTTCTTGTTGTTAAGGTGGTCCTTTCTCAACTGTACTAGTGAAAACAAAAGTCAAATATGGAAAGTGACGAGCGAGAAAGATTGACATTTCAAATTTGACTGTTGCGATCTGTTGTGATTTTTGACCAAACCACCTTAAATAAGTATTATGGACGAGGGAAAATTTCGATTGCTCGTAACAGTTATTAAAAAGAAATAATATTTCATAGCTGTTTTTTTAAATTCCACTTGTATTACAAGAACATTTCCTTTCAGTAAATGAAATTACGAGCATTTTTATAATACTTGTGGAAACATACGTTGCTCCTCCATAACAAAACATGATTATTTTTCTCTTTTCTGTCTGCCAGTTACAAACAAAGCGTAAAACGTGGCTGTCCCAACGAGGAGGTCGTAAGGTTACAAATATTACGACAAGAATAATATTTTAACAAAAGGTCCACGGGGCGATCGCACAGAAATTTACTTAAAGATTAGATACGTACAATATAAAATGTCGAGAAAATTCTGAGAAATCCAGTAAAGGTCGAACGACAGACGGTCCATCGGTAAAAGATGAAAAGCTTCATCTCGTGGGTAACTTTCTATTTAGATTTCTAACGTAAGGGATGTCACCGAATGAGTTAAGTTTACGTGGAAGATGTTCGGTATTACTTCAGTAATGCCTCAATAGTTAAATGAAAATCCTTTAAGAAGGAGCTGCGTGGAAAGGCTTGTCGTAAGAAAGTTAGATTTGATTTTGCAAGAAAGTTTGATTTGATTTCACGAAACCGCACATGAGTTAGGTAACTAAGTAGCAAAGAGTAATCTCCTCTGACCAGAAGAAATATAATTTACATAGCTCATGTAGTACCTTTATATCGTATTCAAATTGAACGAAGTAAAGCTGAAGTTTGTCGCATAGATTGCATGGATGGGTCAGACGTGCGGTTCTTTGACATTTAATGCATGTATAATATATTAGATACTTTGAAAACGAAGTAGCCACTATCGCTGTCTTCAGTAAGCGAAGTACAGAGACTCGTGTCGATACTCAGAGACCATGATACTTCATTCATCATTGGAATGTACTTCTGATCATAACTAAGTTGGAATATTTTTTGTTGTGTGAGAAATACAAATTTAATTTACTATTAAAACATTAGTAATTAAAATTAGTATTAAGTAAAATTGAGTGGTTCGTTCGCATGAGGTTACACTGCAATTACCATCTAAATAAAGTTGTCTAAACCTAAACTATCATAAAATCATTCAATTTCGTTTCGTCTTAATTAATTAGTAAAATTGAGTACTAATCCTTTCTTTCTCGATTAATTGAAAATTCTCTTATACGAACCCTATTGTCCCACAATTAGTTCCCGTGACAGAGGTTCTACAATTAGCTCGAGACGTTTGACAAGCGTAGAAAGTTCCTCTCGAGACCTCGAATTAGCCGTAGGATTCTATACGAGGGTATATAATTATCGCCACGTAAAGAATCGGCAAGTTCGGTAGAGTTACAAAGTTGTCCGGCTAGTCGTAGAATTCGTTCCTCTCGAAAGGAAAACACATGTCTCGTGTTCAAAGCGTGGAAGTAAAATTTACGAGGCTCCAAAATGTTAGGGCGTCCGTCATAAATTCTGGAACGAGCACGAAAGAGCTCGGCGGTATATCAGCGCCGAGTTCGGGATGAAAATACTGTCGCGAGTTACTGATATGCCCCTAGAATATAGCTTACTGGTTAGACGTAGAAATCGGATAATATTACAGGGAAAATAGTTTGATAGCAAGGGTAGTGGCGTTATTAATATCGAGTGTTTCGTCGCGAGTCGCCAACGTACGAAGAGAATTACGAGACTTTCGTAGGAAATATAGTATTAAGGAGGGAAGAGTAAAAATTATTTTGTTACTATTTAATACATATATGATAAACTCTACTAAATAGATATTCTATTTACTTAATAGTATTCAGATAAAGAATCGTTCGATACAGCTGTAATTTTCATGCATCCAAGGTTGCTTACCTCATTATTCCAGGTACTTGCTTTCTGCTAAATTGTAATGAGCGAAGATCGGCGATTTGAAAATTTAATACGAAAGTGTAAAAGAATAGGAAAACCGGCGGAGGTTCGAAGCCGTTCCCTCGTTTTATCTCCGATTCCATTTCGCTGCCTCTTCCTTTTTGTCGGATGCGCCGTAGGCGTTTCGTGGATCGTCCGCATCGGTCATTGCAGCAGAAGACTAATATCCGAATCAAAAATTTAATTAGAAATCCGTGCAAAGTAATTCGTTTCTGCCACACGCTGCTGGTTGTGTTAGGGGCGCCGACTTGATGACGTTAATTAGCTTGCAGGCAGCGTTGTTATTACGTTTCTAATGAAACGGTCGATACGAGTAGCACGTCTCCTATAGTTGTAATATTATAAAAAGAATGAAACATTACGAACCTGGAAGCTAGAAAATTTATCCAAGAAAACTTTCTGTAAAATTCGCCATGTATCTCTACTTTAAACTAAAACGTTTAATTCGATAATGATCCAGTTAATGGATGGCAAAGCTTGCTGTCTTTTTCGTCAAACGTGAAGATTCCCTTACTAATCGAAGCACGTCTAAAACTCATCCACGACATCATCGATCACTTACGATTTGAAGCCATTCGAAAATACCGAGTGTACGTTTAACTAGCGAGTTCACATTGTTCAACCGGTAGGAAGGGGGTCTATTAACTGCAGTCCGCGTCCGTGACCATGAAACGGAAGTAACCTCGACAAAAGCCTCGAGGGAATTCTGCATCCGCCGCGTTGCGCTCACAAACTACATATATCGGTATATTGTTTCTGGCACGATGAACGGATTTTTACGATCCGTTTTTGCTGTATAGAGCCGCGTTCGTTACTGTTCAGAGGGTTATCAAAAATTTTATAAGCAGTGCTCGCTTGGGTTTGCCGCACTGGATGAAATAGCTGAAGTAAGCGATCCGTATATACAGGATGGGACATTTTAAACAGGTCACCTGATACGATGTAAATATTTCGGTACACGAATCTACGCTATATTTTCTTTTCGCAAAATCGTATTTTATAGACTAGCGTTAAAAACTATCGTGCAAAAATATTCATTAAATAAAGTTTCAAAGACAATTTTAAGAGTGCAGATCGAAAAGGTACGTTCTATTCACAAATTTCTAAACTGATGATAAAATAATACTGATAGTAATAATAATAAACGTTTTCATATAAATTATAAAAATATACGATATTCGATGTAAATAACAGAATTAAATGAATCATATAAATACAAGATATTGAAATAACACCAAGTAAATATCTATATACGCAATATCTCCACTATGTACGTGTAGAGTTTGTCTAAAATCGAATGATCTGATAATAAAGTCTTTCTAAGCATACAAAAACAATTGATCCATCAATTTCCACCAGGAAACACCAGAGATTTATGTCGGAGATATCATTTCTAATTAAATTTAATTGGTTCTCTTCTGGTTATTGTCCGCTGCGTGTCCCATTTCTCATATACACGTGTATTCTCTCGCCGTGTTTCAATCTCATTTCCTGCTCCGAAATTCCGCATTCCATGTTCTTTTTCGGGCAGCGGGAATCCCGCTGGCTCGCATCAAAATTTCAAACGGCAACGTTTCCGAACCGTCACGGCCGTAAATTCCTGCCGCGCGGTTAGATTACGCTCGAAAGAGATTTATCTCTTCATTGACACGTACCACACGACTGTGTTCACAAGAATTTGTATCGTTCTGAGGATAGAATAGCAGATGGGAACGCAAAGGTCTCGGGCAATGGGAATTTGTACGGTGTTGAGCAATTTTTGTTTGAAATTCGTTAAGTAAATTTGTTGAAAATGTCACCTTAGAGAGAATGACAAACCAACACTCGTTTATGTTTATAGTTTATTCACCAGACTTATGAACAATGAAAATTTCTTCAGTGGTACGGCGTTTCAATTTTTCGTCCCTGATTGTATTCACGGTAGTAATATCGGGTCGTTCACCACGAGAGACAACGTATCATCGACCACCGGAATTAGCGATACCGAATTTTGAAACGCGCAACGGGAAAGGGGAGGGGGGTTATCTCTTCACTGACGCGAACCATTCGACTGTGTACAGAAGAGTTTGTACCGTTCCGGGGTCAAAGCAGCGGAGAGTGTACAGGGAAACGTCAAGCTATACCTGAATGCGCAGAAAAAGTAAGAGCATTGGGGTTGAAAAGCCCGCGGGGGTTGTCGCCGCTACGGGACTCTCAAAATCGGGAATATCGAGATATCGCGCGCACCACCGTGAAATTTCACGACGTCATGTCCTTGCCACGAACCCGCGTAGCAATTTGCCAGGAAAATTCCCCACGCGAGACCACCCCCGACTCCTCGAGAGCAACTAATTGCGTCCAGTGAAACGACCTTTTTGCGCTCAGCCGTCGAGACGGGCGACGGGCGACCGGTGAGCATTCTTCCTCGGAGATTCTGTCGTCAGTCTCGATGATGAGAAGTTTAAGAGGGTCGCGATAAAAAAATTAATGAAAATGAATATGGAACAACACTATCTGGGACTTTACAAAATTTTATTGCAGAAAATTTATTAAATTTCTTTAACTTATTCGTGTAGAATTTTATTTTTAGGATTTTAGGTTTATTTAAACGTTTTTTTTTTTTTTTTAAATTTGTACGTGTAACAAATGTATATTAGATAGCTTACAATCAGTTTCATAAATATTCGTACCTTCTGTGTCTATTAAAAAAATATATCCATGTTACATGTTTGAATCTACTAGTCATCGAAGAATATACT